GGCCGGTACGGTAACGCAACGGTCGGTACGGTAACGCAACGGTCGGTACGGTAACGCAACGGTCGGTACGGTAAAGCAACGACCGGTACGGTAAACCGAGTCAAACTCACAGGAAACCGGCTGGGTGGTAATGATCAGTTCCCTAAGTACAATGACTACGGTAAAACTTAAATTAGACTCTATTTTAGGGGTCAAGAATGATTGAAATGTCCGAAAAAATGACACCAAAATATTTAAAAAATCAACCTTAAAAACTTTAAAACACCCAAACTCCTGTTAAATGGAATTTATGGCAGAATCCAGTATATAGCACACAAAAACACATAATTTCACATTGACATTTTCGCTTATAATAAACCATAGATATAACAGTTTATATAAACCTGATTTGGGCAATGAAATAAGGTGAGTTTTGAGCTATACAGACTTATTTACTGGCAACAAACTAATATCATCAAGGAGAGTAATATATGAAAAGTAGAAAAAGCCTTACCTGGACTACAATATGGCATATTGTCAGATAATCTCCACTCCTCATTATCACATAAATCAGGTACACGTACATCATAATTGCTCAATGTATACCCGTTATCGCATTCATATAATCGTTGTGTGTCTTGAACTAGACGACTATGAATAGGATTACTATATTCATGGTTATTAATAAGATACTTGATATTACCATTGACTATAACACCATCCCTTGGACATAGCTCTGAAAACAAAAATACAACACAATTATGGAAGACATAATATAAAAAAAAATATTATAAGCACATTATTAAGCGTAAAAATACACAAAAACTACTTTTATGTTTGTCAAATCCCATGTCATGTTTTGATGACACTATGACATTTGTTTGTCTCGTTTTTACATTTGATTTCACGCATAACAGGATTTTGCAGTAAATTGAAAATGGTCTTTAGTGAACTGTGCTACAGAAGATAGTATAAGACTACATACTTGCAATACAGGAAGGTGTGTTTCTACTCCAAGTGCCAAACTGACATCTTCTTTGATATTCATTCTCCAGTCTATAACCACGTGAGCATGAATAAACTGCATATTTGTTATGAGGTACCTTGCCATCTATTATTTCTTGTTGTATAGAAACATGTGGATCACTATCTGACAATGGTTGGCATGGTTCTGTAAAAAAACTAGTCATTGTTAATTACACAGTCCCCATTCCAATGAGGGTAAATGATATTTATGCCTGAGATAAGTAATATAGCCAAAAAAGCAGGGTGACTTTTTGCTTTCAAGATCACAACATATATATAGACATGTAAATTGCTAAACACATACTGTAATGACTTTTTGGGTGTTTTTCTAATGGAATTTATTTTCACTGATTTTTGACGAGTTGAACATATGAACAAGCAGCCTGTCAGCTGAGATAGCTCCGCTGTTAGCAATGCACATGGCAATTAAAGAACAGAAGATATCATTAGAAAATGAACAAATCTGAGAGAGGTCCACATGTAGTACCTATATGTATAATATATCAAAGCAATTGGACTTGCGGTTTTCAACAAGAAGTCGAAAATATCACTTTTTACCAAAAATGACAAAAATATTCACCAAAATTAGAGAATTGAAGATATCATCATG